AACTGGATACTTTTCTTTTCATTGTTCATTATTATTGCCTTTTATTATCAGTATCTTTATAAATCTGAGCTTTGTTGTGTTTTGGGGTTGGAAAGATTACATATAAAGTTACAGATATGTTTTAACATTGTATGTGGTACATATTGGGAGCTCTGGTGGCATAGTGCCTAAGGCATGTGACTGCTAACCAGAAGGCTGATGGTTCAAATCCACCAGCCACTCCTTGGAAGGAAGGTTGGGCGATCTACTTCTGTAGTGATACCACCTCAGAAACCCAAGGAGGGGTTGCTATGAGTCGGATCTGACCCCACAGCAGTGACTTTGTTTTGTTTTTTGGTAGTACATATTACTAACAACAAGATGTACCAAAAAACCAGTCCTAAGTGCGGTTCATTGTAACTTGAATATGTAGTAAATCAGGGATTACCTGTAAAAGATGCCACTAAGAAGCACACAAAAGAAAATGATGTTTGTGCTAAAGGATATAACATGTATTATTTGGTAAAAATGCCAATAATAACCAAAAAACGAGTGTGGGGTCACATATGTTTGTGTAAAGGCATACCTCATTGTATTGCGCTCTGCAGATACTGTGTTTTTACAGATTGAGGGTTTCTGGCAACCCTGCGTTGAGCAAGTCTGTTGGCACCATTTTTCAGAAGAGTGTGCTCAGTTTGTGCCTTTGTGTCACATTTTGGTAATTCTCACAATATTTCGAACTTTTTCATAATGCTGTTGTACACTTACTGTGTACACTTACTGCCTGTTTCAGTGATCCAAGCAGAGTTGTGAGCTCTCTCAACCCCAGCCCCCTTCCTTAGAGGGCTCTTCAGAAGAACTCTGCCAGTGGTTAACCTCCCTCACATCCTGGATACTCCTGTTCTCTGAGCTGCTGCCTTCCCCTTTTATACTCAAGATGATTGACATGGTAAAGCAATTGTAACTTTTCCTTTCTTATTTGGGCCAGAGAGACAGTATTGTCTATTCATTTACAAAGCTGTTAACATAATAGTAAACATGCAAAGCACAATACGTGCACTTCTGCATCCGAATAACACATTATCTTATGTAAGTGCAGCACCTAAACTCTACTGTATCATGACCTCCTGATTACAATTTTCCAGATTCATTGGTTCACACGCAAGACTTTGTAATGAGGCACATGGCTAAGAAGTGTCTGGCTGGTCCAGGATTGCCCAGGAGTCTTTGGCATAACTATAAAGAAAATGGATTTGTTTTGTCTGTGTTGTTATGTTAACATGTACATTTCCTGCAGTGTGTTATTTTATCCACACAGTGGTGCTAGAAAACCAGGAGTTGATTATTGTTTTTCTCCTGAATAGTGGAATGTGTATGTTTCAAACTGTTAATTATAAACTAAACATTTTCTGGAGTTACATGATGAAAATTCCCTCAACTTCTGTGAAATCTACTATACATCACAATGATTTTCCCTCTGAAATGTCTTCAGACTTCAGTCATCTTTTACTATGCCTGCACCTTCCTAACATACCTTCCTAGATTTTTCCCAGTTCTGCTTTAGTCTGTTTCTATGATGTAGTCATAAGAGTTCTTTTAAAATATAAATCGTAACTTTGCTGCTTGAAACTTAATTGAGTTCTTACTGCTTTTGAGTTTTTCAGCAGGATAAATAAAAGCAAGACTCATGATCCAGCTCCTGCCCTGTTCTCTAGCTTCACTTTTCAACAGCTTTCTGGTGGTGCAGTGGTTAAAGTATTCAGTTGCAAACCAAAACGGCTGCTTGAAACCATCAGTTACTCTAAGGGAGAAAGAAGAGAGAGTTGGCGTCCATGAAGATTGACAGCTTTGGAAAGGCTTTGGGGTAGTTCTGCTCTCTACTCCGTCCTATAGAGTCCCTGAGTCAGGCTTCACTCAATGGCAGTGGGTTTTCATTCCACAGTTCTCCTGGTTATGTATTTCAGCCAGATGATTGGTCTTCTTTTAGAAAACCAGGCGGTGCAGTGGTTAAAGCACTTGGCTGCTAACCAAAAGGTTGGCTGTCCTAATCCACCAGCTGCTTTGTGGGAGAAAGATGTGGCAATCTACTTTTGCAAAGATTAACAGTCTTGGAAACCTATGGAATAATGCTACCCTGTCATATAGGGTCATTATTGGTTGGAATATACTAGACAGTAGTGTGTTTGGTTTGAGTTTTGCATCTTCTTTGGTTACTTGAACACAAGTATTTCCTCCAACTTTGACCTTTTCATTCTTCCTGAGCTAGGTGGGAGTGTTTGTGCATAGGTAGTTAAGTTTCTTCTTAAAAACCACTTTCTTATCCTTTGTATCTTGGCTGGAATTTTGGTAAGCTTTCTTAATCCCTCTAAGTAGATCAGTTCTCTAAGTTATGTGTTCTCATGGTACCTGTAATTTTTCTTTATAGCACTTATCACCATTTTTAATTATGATTATTTGACTAATGCCAGTATCCTCGCTGGATCATGAGCACAGAGGAAGTTGTTTCTGTGCTCTCTGCTCACTGTTGTATCACGGGTGCCTGTCCAGGTATCTGTTGAATGGATGTAAGTCAGCCAGGACTTTTGGAAGCATGCAGTGGAGGTAGGAAAGGTAATCGTTTCTGGGAAAACAAGAAAATAGTTGGGAACTGTGTTAGACTGCGTTCTTGCAAAAATGGCAAGGAGGACACATGTTCTGACCTCCTCTAATCCCACAAGAGGAGGACAGGATTACCAGCAGTAACCCAAGGCCTATTCCTACAAGGCCAGACATGCTGCCTCCCTCCAGCCCTTTCTCCAACCGTTCCTCCCAAAGCACCGACCACCTCTCTCCTGGGCTCGATAATTCACTGCAGTGGCCACACAGAGCTCACAGATTATGGGGTTTATTAGGGAAGCACCACAGGCTACAATTCTAGTTCAGGAAAAATCGCTCAGTCTCTCTCCCAGCCCACCATCCCTCAGCCAGCAGTCTCTCACAGTCTCTTTCCCAGCAGTGCTGGTCCCTCGGTGTCTCACTCAGCAATGCGTGTCTCTTGCATCTCTTTCCCAACAACACGTGTCTCAGGAGCCCGTGTCTCTTTCAGCAGCACGTCTTCCTCAGCCAGGAGTCAGAGAGAGTTCTGCTTCCAGGAGGTCTCCTTTTGAGCCCGGCAGGGTGGTCAAACTAGCCAATCATAGCATCAGAACTCTAAGCACCTGAGAGAAAGTGGGCACCTCCCAGAACATTGTTTTGTGCCACTCCCAACAGAAATACTCCAGGTGGACAACTTCAGCAATCAGGAGCTCCTCAGTTGCTCATAGCAAATCCCACCTTGGAGTTTACAAAGACTTATGGGTAGAAAAGCCACACAAAGTAATTTACTACACTGCAGTTCTCTAGAGAAACAAAAACCAGTAAAGGTTTTATGTATGTAAATATATAGAGAAATTTATCTTAGGAAAAGTTCCTGGATCAAACGTCAAGCTGGAGGCTCTTCCTGGCTCTTGCAACTGCAGGGGCTGAGGAGCTCAAGGCTGGCAGGCAGTACACTGGCTGTTGACTCCAATGAATGACGAATCCGAGATCTCCAAGCCGAATGGTGGACTGTTCACTCATGGACAGTCGTAGGCAGCACAACAGAGTCCTGATCCACAGAAGAATGTCTCTTTTCCTGGAATGTCCATAGATATACTGGAAGCAGGCCACACCCCTAGGGAAACTCCCGTTCAACAGATTGGCCACTCAGAACATAGTCATCTGATCCCATCATGGAAACAAGCACACCACACAGAATTATGGTCCAGCCAAGTTGACACACAGTTCCAACTATCACAGGAACAATTTTAAAAAAACAAACAAACTCACTGCCAGCAAGTTGGTTCTGACTCATAGCAACCCCCATTGGGTTTCCAAGGCTGTAAATCTTTACTGAGGTAGACTGCCTCATTGTTCTTCCATGAAGTGGCTGATGGGTTTTATCCATGGCCTTTTGGTTAGCAGCCAAATGCCTTAACCACTATACCACCAGAGCTTCTTTTGAATACAGTCAGGTGAGCTTTATATTAAGGCAAGGTATTGGTCCAATATAGTTAACTTATAGCTTTCCTGTTAGAGTAGAAATTAATTCTACTTCATGGTAGCCTTAAGCTATAAGGGATGCTGTCTTAATGGAAGGACAGGAAAAATGGGAAGCAGGGATTATGTTTGACAGATTTAAAATTAGGGAAAAAGCTTGTTACAGGAGAAAAACACTGTTCTGTAGGTAGGAGACCTTTTCAGTTCTAGCTTTCATGTTACTTTGTTCCATACCCCTGAGAAAGATGTGGTAAAGATTAGAAAAGTCGCCCTTTGAATTTACCTTGTTTTCCATAACTATATGGTGAGCTGGGAGCTCTGGTAGCGTAGTGCCTAAGGCACTTGACTGCTAACCAGAAGACTGGTGGTTCCAACCCACCAGCCACTCCTTGGAAGGAAGGTTGGGCAGTCTGCATCTGTCATAATACCACCTCGGAAACCCAAGGAGGGGTTTCTATGAGTTGGGTCCGGCTCGATGGCACATGACAACAACAACAACATATGATGAGATAATAAACCATATCTTCTATTTCTTAATATGTAGGAAGAACAATAGAGTAAAAGTCTTTTAAGATGTATAAAAACAGTTTATAAAATAGACTTCATTTTTGCCCAGAAGAAAGGAATCTTTGATTTTTAGAATTTTCTATTCTATTTATTTATAATTTTAAGGAAGAGGTAACTAACAGAAAAGAAGAATATTACATGAAAAGCTATATCACCTGTGGTCACTAGATTTGAAGTTGTATAAGGGAGGGACCGTATCAGTTTTACTCAGTTTATCCTCTGCACAATGCATACTAGGTGCCCAGAAATTATTGTTGATTGAATGATAGAGTGAGTGCACTGAAGGCTTTGTTGGCATTCTATGATTTCTTTAGCTTATAGGCATTCCACAGAAACAACTTGAGGTTAAAAAAAAAAAAAAACCAAACACCTTGATAATTTTTTTTCTTACATTTCAGCTGTGGCAGAAGTAAAACTTGGAGATGATCAGTATACGCTGGAGCACATGCATGCTTTTGGAATGTATAATTATCTACACTCTGATTCATGGTATCAAGACAGTGTCTACTATGTTGATATCCTGGGAAGAATTATGAAGTTAACAGTGATGCTGGTAAGAAAAAATATATATAATAGAGTTTTCCAGTAAATTTGACCCTTAATTTTTCCCTTTGGAATCTAAGAGCCAGAGAGTTGAGGTATATAATTCAGATATGGAATCCTATCATCAGTCTGTGCAAGCCTTTATTTTTGTTGGATTTAATTTTAATTTTTTCTCTTTTTCTGTTATTTACACTTATTTCCCTCTACTTCCTCCAATGGGCAACTTCCCTAATGGATTTGTGATATAACTCTTCATTTCTGCTTTTGCAATGTGAATCTTATCCTCAGCTATGATAGTGGATTTGTCTGTTTTTCCTTTTATTTTTTGCTTCATGTATTTTTAACTGTTAATTACGTGTAAATATTTAGAATTGTTTCATCTGCCAGGAGTGATCTTTTTAGCATTATGAAATGTCCCTCTTTATCTCTGGGAATACTTTTTGCCATGAAATATACTTTGCTTGCTATTAATATAGTTTTACAGGCATTTTTTAAAAAATTAGTATTAGTATTTATCTTTTTCTATCCTTTTTGTTTTAGTTGATCAGTGTTCTTACCTGTTTCTTGTAAAGATGATATATTTGGGTCTTATTTTTCATCCAGTATGACAATCTTTGTGTTTTAATTGAAGAGCCTAAATTATTTCCACCACTTATCTCTTAGTTTGTCATACTGTCATGGCTAGTGTGTTGCTATGATGTTGGAAGCTATGCCAACAGTCACCCATAATAGACAGGTTTCAGCGGAGCTTCCGGACTAAGAAGGACTAGGAAGGAGGACCTGGCAATCTCCTGAAAAATTAAGCTGTGAAAACCTTACAAGTTACATGGACAAAATATTGAATGACTCAAGAAGCTTCAAAAGAAGATGGAAGGAATACACACAATCTCTCTAACAAAAAGAATTTGTTGACATTTAACATTTCAGGAGGTAGCATATGATCAAGAACCAATGGTATTGAAGGAGGAAGTCCAAGCTGCACTGAAGGCTTTAGCAGAAAACAAAGTTCCAGGAATTAACAGAGTATCAGTTGAGATGTTTCAACAGATAGATGCATTGCTGAAAGTCTCATTCATCCATGATGAGAAATTTGGAAGATTGCTACATGGCCAACAGATTGTGCCCATTCCAAAAAAAGGTGATCTGACAGAATGCAGAAATTATCAAACAATATATCATTAATATTACATGCCAGTAAAAATATTGAAGATAATTAAAAAGTGTTTTCAGCAGTACATCGAGAAGGACCTTCCAGAAATTCAGACTGGCTTTTGAAGAGAATGTGAAATGAAGAATATCATTGCTGACTTCAGATGATCTTAACTGAAAGCACAGAATACCAGAAAAAATGTTTACCTGTGTTTTATTGACTATGCAAAGGCATTTGACTGTGTGGATCATAACAAAATATGGATAATATTGTGAAGAATGGGAATTCCAGAACATTTAATTGTGCTAATGTGGAACCTATACGTAGACCAAGATACAGTCATCTGAACAGAACACAGGCACACAGGTTTAAAATCAGGAAGGGAGTGCATCACGTTGTATCCCTTCACTATACTTATTCAATATGTATGCTGAGCAAATAATCCAAGAAGCTGAACTATATGAAAAAGAATGTAGTATCAGGATGAGGAAGACTCATTAACAACCTACAGTATGCAGATGATACAGCCTTGCTTGCTGACAGTGAAGGTGACCTGAAGCACTTACTGATGAAGATCAAAAGATCAAAGACTACAGTCTTTAGTATGGATTACCTCGACATAAAAAAAAAAGTACAAATCCTCACAACTGGATCAATAAGCAACATCATAGTATATGGAGAAGACTGAAGAATTAATGCCTTTGAATTATGGTGCTGGTGAAGAATATTGAACATACCATGGACTACTGGAGGAATGAACAATCTGTCTTAGAAGAAGTCCAGCCACAATGTTCCTCAGAAGCAAGGATGGTGAGATTTCATCTCACATGCTTTGGATGTGTTATCAGAAGGAACCAGGCCCTGGAGAAGGACATCAAGCTTGGTAGAGGGTCAGTAAAAAAGAGGAAGACCCTTAATGAGATTAGATTGACACAGTGGCTGCAATAATGGGCATTTGAATGTAGCAATGATTGTGAGGATGGCACAGGACCAGGCGGTTGAAATTGACTTAATGACACTTAACAACAACAACAACAAATCTTTTATAGTTCATGTGATTACTGATATTGTTGGATTTGCTTTACCATCTCATTAATTTCACTTTGTCCCTTCTGTTTCTTGGCCGTTTGTATCTCTGTTCTTGCTTTCTTTTGATTAAGGTTTATTTTAGTTTGTTAAAATTCCATTTAATTTTCTCTTTTGGCTTTTGTCTGAATCTCTTTGTATTCTTTTTAAAGGTTAATATATAGATTCTGACATCTATTCTTAACATTCTTATCTCAGTCTGTCTTTAATTAATATTATGCTACTTAAACAATATAAGAACCTTACCTTCTGTAATTCTTTTTACCTCCCCTCCTGCCTTTAGAACTATTTTTTCAGTGTATTTTACTTCTTCATACACAGTAAACTCTCTAATATGTTGTTAATATATTTGTTTTAAACAGTTCCAAAAACAACCAAATACAGTGCCATTGAGTCAATTCCAACTCATAGCGACCCCCATTTAGGTTTCTGAGGTGGTAAATCTTTACAAAAGTAGATTACCTAGTCTTCCTTCCACAGAGTGGCTGGTGGTTTGGACTACCAGCTGTCTGGTTAGCAGTCAAATGCCTTAGGCACTATACCACCAGAGTAGCCTGCTAATAGCTACCTAGCTACTCTCTGCTCCATGCAGCTCTCCTCTGCATCACATTTACTTGATATACTGTCTAATTTGTCTGTCTAATCTTATGCTTTTCTGCTTAAATTCCTTTAATATTTCCTTTGTGACAAAATGTAAACTTTTTAATATGTAGTTTGCAGAATAAACAATAGTGCATGTGCTGTGTGACCTGTTGGCACCAAGCTTATGAAATCAGTAATTTTAAAACAATTCCTACTCAGTGTTTTGTAATGTAAACATTCCTCTTGAATTTGGAGCTTATTTCAACTTCTGTGTTTGTGGCGTAGTGCCTAAGGCATTTGGCTGCTAACCAGAAGGTTGGCAGTTCAAACCCACCAGCCATTCCATGGAAGAAAGACTGGGCAATCTGCTTCCGTAAAGATTTACCACTTAGGAAACCCAAAAGGAGTCGCTATATGTCAGAATACACTCTGTGGCAATGAGGTTTGTGTGTGTGTGTGTGTGTGTGTGTGTGTTTATATTGTAGTAGTGTACCTCAGAAAGAGCCCTGGTGTTGCAATGGTTAGGCACTTGGATGCTAAACAAAAAATGTCAGTGGTTCAAACCCACCAGTGGCTTCATGGAAAAAAGATGTGGCAGTCTGCTATCCTAAAGATTAAAGCCTGGGAAATCATATGGGGCAGTTGTATCCTGTCCTATAGAGTGGCTATGAGTCAGAATTGACTCAGTAGCACACATACACTCAAGTATATGCACAAAGTATATATACCAAGTGACATACATTGTTAAAATTCAAGCTTCATATTGGCATATACAGTTTAAAATGCCTTTTCCCCAGCTTATTGTTTTGTTACTTCTCTAGTTGTACACCACAGTACAGCACTTCCAGAGTGATTTCAGTTCCTGAGACATGCCTTTTACTCTGTTCCCTTTGGGCCTTTTCCCATGTGATTAACTCTGCCTGGAACCCACTTTTCTGTACTTCAGACAAACTTAACATTTCTTCATCGGATGTTTGCGCTGACATCTTCCTTATGCTCCCCCAGCAGTATTCAGACCACTCTTTTGTTCTTTATTTGGTTCTCAGCTCTGTATGGACTGTGGATTTTTTTCTGCATTGGGCTAGATAGTAAATATTTTAACTTTGCTGGCTAGATGTCAAACAACTTAATTTCACTGTTATGTGAAAGTAGCCATCGATGCTTAGATAAATGAGCATAACTGTATTCCAATAAAACTTCATTTGTAAAAACTGATTGTGAGTTAGATTTGGCTCATAGGCTCTAGCTTGCCAATCCCTGCTGTAGGCCACATCCAGCACCCAGCACAAGGCTTGATCATTATGTTTGTTTGTTGAATGGATAACAGTTGTTTAAAGCTTATTTTTACTCTCTGGAGTTAATCTTGCATTATTAATAGGATCTTCCTCTTAACTATCTCTTCTCCATGAATGTTTGAATCTTGTATTGGGGATATAATGTTTATCTCAGAATGTAAGGCATTTCCTGGTCATGAAAACCTTTTCTTCCAAGTGGCTTCAAACACCTAATCAAATCAATGGGCAAGTAAATTCTAATTCTTATTGGGACAGAGGAGATAGGATCTGGCCTTTTGTCCTCCCCCCCCCTTTTTTTTTTAATTTATATTGTTATTTGAGTGAAAATTTACAGACCAAATTAATTTTCCATACTGCATTTCAATCACATTTTGTTTCATGACATTGACTATAATTTCCCACAGTGTAACAGCTCTCTTTCCACTTCTCTGTGTCCTTCTTTCCTGTGCATTCCTGCCCCCTGATCTATCTGTACAAATGCTAGCTACTCTCTGCTCCATGCAGCTCTGTACAAATACTGTTCTCCCATGATTGATTGTTCTAAGAAGTGTATCTACCTGATGTAAATGTTCACCCTATGTGCCTGTCTGTTGTTTGGCTGGAAGCCATGGGAGTGAGTTCAATTCCAGACCTGAAGGATAACTAGGAGCTATAGTCTCTGGGGTCTTACCAGGCTCTATCAGACTGGTAAACCTGGTCCTCTTTATGATTTTGAGTTTTGTTTCACATTGTTCTGCACTGATCCCTTTCCGAGTAATTGACAGTAGTAGCTGGGCACCATTTAATTCTTCGGGTCTCATAGTCATATGGGCTGAGGTTCGTATGGTCCACTAGCCCCTTGGACTAATTGTTTCCATGCATCTTTGGTCTTCTTCAGTCTACTTTGCTCTGGACAAG